TACTCACTTGCGGTTTATGAAAGATTCATCTGCGGTATATGGCTTACTCACTTGAGGTGTATGAAAGATTCATCTGCCGTATATGGCATTCTCACTTGAGGTGTATGAAAGATTAATCTGCGGTATATGGCATACTCACTTGCGGTGTATGAAAAATTCATCTGCGGTATATGGCATACTCACTTGATGTGTATGAAAGATTCATCTGCCGTATATGGCATACTCACTTGAGGTGTATGAAAGATTCATCTGCGGTATATGGCATACATTCACGAATCAATGTGAACAGCGGTCTAAATAATCAAGATGTGATCTATGTCCAGTTTAAACTATTAAATCTAATTACAGAATCCAATGTTCAATAATCAAAATGCTCTGCACCATTAGGATTGATATACGTACTGAGTGTCCCAAAGAATTGTACACAAATTAAACGGGAAATTTGGCATTTCAGATGATATGCTCGAGATAACCAATAGCGAGTTGTAGAATGCAGTTGCGTATGTGATGGTGCTAAAACAATGTATCCGTCAGATAACTAAATTTCAAAATATTCCTTCATCAATCAGAGTTATTTCATGTTTGTCTTAGTACAATTTGAAAAACAAAACAAAATTACGTTTTTTCTAAAACGAGAAAGAGTTAACAAACTTTTAAAATATTTTTTCATCATTTTTGGACATCCTGTTCATTCACTCTAGTACGTACTCATCATATGAGATACAATTGGAGGGTATTACTTTACAATTGATGGGTATTACCATGGTATATCATTCATGATGAGATTTTTCTTAAAATGACATTTTTAAGAGCTTATAAAAACTAAATCTGTTATCTTTGACATGTTCCCAATTGATGTAACAGCTTCAGTTCGATTAATCCAAGCTGCAATATTACACCATAAAAACCAAAAAATATCAGTATCATACTTTTTGAAGTCGTATTATTATTGCATAAGGTGATGATATTGTCAGATTGTATGCTGTTTTAGAAGTGAAAAATGCATGCCGTTTGTTTCCAATCCAATAAAACGCATAGTTGAGATAAAACAGTTGTTTAAAGATACAATTTGAATTTACCGCAGTAAATTACGAAATGATATTGTCAAAATGTCAATAATTCCTGGCCGATGTCACATATAAATATATATATACACCGATATGTTTTATTTCCTCATGTATGTGAAACAAGGCGGCCTCTAGTTATTTATATCCTATGCAAATATGGAATTATGTGCAGGAGAAGTATAATATTTTTGAAAATAATCGAAAAAGAATCATGCAGATAATTTGATTTCTTTTTCGTATCACTTCTTATCCGTTTCACATTTACGTATGAATCTTTCTAACATTATAGATCTAATCATGGACATCTGAAGCATCATTGCACCAAGTTACACACCAGCACAAGGCAAATAAAGAGGAGAACTTCCAGAAACAAACTTGCTGCTTGTCCGACATAGTCTTTACCGTCTCGTCTTTACCAGCGCCATTCGATACGATCACTAATCATGGGGTGAATGAGCAGATTATATCTTTATTTGATGCCCAATTCAGTGTACGTATATGACAGTTCTTATATTAGGTAAACGTTTTTAGAAACAGATGCTTTTTTCAAAAATCTCGTATATTAACTTCAAAGAACATATGCACAAAACTGAATCAACCACACGGACCGAATCTTTTCGCTAAAATAAACTACAACCCACCAAAACATAACATGGACTGTACGCACAAGATGGTTCTGAGTTGCATGACGTCTTTTATCATCATGATTTGACTGCTAACGCAAGAACAAGGGTTCTTTTGACATATAATTGAAGTGATGACAAGTCATGTACGATGTGCTATTCCTTTGAGACTGATACCGTCAACATTCCATCTTTAATTTTAAGGTCGTCTAAGCTACATTCAGGTAGAGATAACTTGCACTAAGATTTGGAAACAATTTATTGAATGAGCTTCGCTATGCGTTTCAATGTAATCTAACAAAGTTGATAAAACACTTTTAAACACATTTTTTTATTGAAAATGGGATCTAACAGACCCCAAAGGTAAATTATAAACGCCGCTTAAACCCAGGGAAAACGTAAACTAACGCTATTTAATCGCTAACTCATCAAAAACGGCTTTAAACCATGAGATGCGGCGGCATGGTGAATTTTTGTTTCGCGACTCAAAACGAGGCTGATATAGAAACAGTGATCGATCAGACGTTTTGAAACGTATATATTATATACACCTTTTATATATGGAATAAAAAATAACATCACACTATTTTCTTATGATATGATTTTTAGGCACGGGTGAGAGTATTATATCATTACGAGTGAGCGTATATTTATTAGTATAGACATAGTATTACATAATATTTTCCTGTTGAGGAGATTAAAAATTGAAGAAAAAATTATTGATAATCGGAAAAATTAATTGCATTCAATATGCATATAAAATGGATGCATTTCTTCCTTATGTTCATGGAAATAATCTTATTAATCAATCCTCTACATATTGATGCAATACAGGTCAATGTGGGATGAATGGTTTATACATAGACTGACTTTTTCACAAGTGAATCATTCGCATTTGTATGCAGAAGTAATAAAACAACATCACATTAAAACAAGAATGGGAAAGATAAGACCAATCTTACTAGACAGCGGAAACGCCAAGAATCTAATCAAACATCAATGACGCAACTTTAAAATGCCTGTCATATTTCAAATTGATAACTACAATATACTTGGTCAGGAAAATTGTCAAAATAATATATCACGCTGTTATATATTTGATTGTAAAATATATAATAATTGAGTCGCCCTCGTCCTTTTAGAATGGATTATTAATCGAAATGGATGTCGTACATATCGTTTCTCTGGAGAAACTTTTTTTAAATAAAAACAAATTCAAAAATATTAAATGAGGTAAAAATTGACCCAGTTCGGATATCATTAAACGTGGCATCGGACAGAGGTCTATCCATTTTACTTCAAGTTTCTGCGATGGACAAATAATATGAATATTTTGTGTATTTTTAAGTGAGATACATATGTTCTCTTCTAATCCAAATAAATTACAAACAAATTAAAATCTACGTGGTTTATCTTTATCGCACTTGCATGTAAAATATGCGCTAAACTGAACGGACGGATATATCTATCACAACTACAAAACCTGTTCGATGGGGATGTCATATCGTAGATATCCATCATAGTACACATAAGGGAAGACAAGATGGGCTTTATTTGTTAATCCATTAAGGCGTTCTCAGGCATTTAATTCGATATGTAGAAGAAGGATTGATCCCATTGCTAAGTACAGCCTCCGGTGCAGTCACCCCAATTAGTAGACAAGACTATGCAACGTACACGCTCGTCCATTGTTAACTTTAAATGCAATTTTCCCATTGGACTACATGTTAACGATTGTCTCAGTGTTAATCAAATCCGTTGGTAAGAACGTTGTCGGAATATATTAGTTGTGCTTAGTATAAGTATTTCTTGTTTACAACTTACAGGAAAGCGATGACAAAGACGAACTTGGAGATGTATTGAATAATATTGTGTACTAGATCGATGTAAGATTGTTTGGAAATGCTTTTGCTTTGACATAGTTTTCTAAAAGTATGATATATTCAAGTGAGAATACAAAGCATGATTTGCATTTTCCCTCAAAAGTTTGTCATCCCTGACTAACATCCCTGTGTGTTAAAACCTTTTTTGTATTTGCATTTCCATAGCCTTCAATAAGATCATTTCCAATACCTCGAATTTTATCAGATGTTTTCCTCAAATGACAAATTTCATGGTTTTGAACCCATTGTGAAATGAGGGCTTGGCAAAATTCAAATAACAGAATATTTGTTATAAATATTATTTTTGGTGACACTCTTTGAAGATAGATATCCCGTAAACTATTTTAAGTGGAAAATATTTTCAAAAATTCATCAAAATTGGTCATCAATTTCTACCTCAGTGTAACAGATAGGACTCGAATTAGATGTATCTAAGTGACAATGAAACCATCAATGACAAGCTAAGTTAACGAATCAAGGCAAAATATCTTTAAAATAACAGTGACGGCATATCCAATGTCAAGATGTATAGTATTTTCAAAAGGATTCGTTTCAGGCGTTTGGCACTTGTGACTGTCGCGCTGTCGAGAAGATTTCAAAAGGTGCTGTACATAGATAGTTTATATGTGAAATATAGCAGCGAACTAGTACTGGGACACGCTGTTTCGTAGCATGGTGGAAAAAAATACTCACAATCGTTCAAAAGATCAAATTAAATTAATACTAGAATAGTACTATCCTCCAATGACACGTCGTATAATTTCGGTTGTACGACATGTTGAGAACCGAGATTTAAGCCACTGGTCAGCCGTCACCTTCGCATCAAAGATGGCGGACGGGAAGTGTCGATTTCGATATTTTTAATTTTTATCGAATTAAACTACTTTATAGTCGACGTATAGCTTTGATATTTGAACCAAATCAGACTTATATGACATGGGAACTATGGAATATGATAATTTGTTCATATATCATGCGTTGGCGCCACAGTTCAACGATATCTTCCACCGCTTAAGGGAAGGTAACTGGCAATGTAAGATACGGTAACGATCATGCTATTTCTCAATACACGGTAACTTGACATCATAAAACTCTCATAACATTACCGCATCACCGCATATCTGTTATCTTATCATCTGGAAAACAAAAATCCCAGCTGCCTTCAATTAAATGCTGGAAGATATCGTTTAACAGTGGCGCCCACGCATAATATATGAAAAAATGATCATACCCAGAGTTTTCATGTTATATAAGTCGGATTTAGTTCAAATATCAAAGCATTACGTCAGCTATAAAGTAGTTTAATTCGATGAAAACTAAAAATATCGAAATCGACACTTCCCGTCTGCCATCTTTGATGCAAAGGCCGTTACCTTCGCTTGATACTGACCAGTGTAAGCAGAACTATCAATAAACGATATTTTTCAATTTAAAAATAGTAACACATAGTATTTGTTTTTTCTCGATTTAGAGGCGATATGTATTCACATAGCATGTACAATGTATTTACAGGTGTATATTAAATCTCCAGACAGGGTCCATGTCATAGGTATTTCGAACAACCCATTGTGAGGATTGGTTTAACACTTACTGTAAAATTCAGGTGTTTAATTTGGTCAGAAATTTCAGTCTTTCTAATTTTCTAATTTAAAGGATATCAACAAATGGTGCCAGTGTTTCCTCTAAAAATTTCTCACTCTTCTATTCTTATTTAGATTTGCAACGAAATTCCTCAAAAAATGATTACATGTTTTCAAAAAGTTTGATTTTATTTGAAAGTTCAACATTTTTTCTTTGGAGTTGACTTTACGTTTGGGAGTATTTTGGACAGATGCTGTCGTCACATAACATCTTCACATGGTTCTTTCGCCAGCTTTTGGTGCGAAGTATTGAATTCGTTTGTGGAGTTCTCGTGATCTCCCGCTTGGTAACGAGTAAAGTTAAACACGTGACCCTTTAGCAATAGCTATAGTGCAGGTATATTTGAATCTGATGATGCTATCATAGTATATGGAATGAATCTTTATAAAAAATATTCTATATATGCGTCGATTATAAATCAGTTCATGGAGTACATGATGAATAAATGGATAAATTCGCTCTACAAAAATCCACCATTTTGGATTTCGTTGCAGATCTTGAAAGAAAAAGAGAGCATTACTTCTTTCAAAAACCTCTGACTCACTGTCTCTGGCAGAATCGTATCAACGTCATGGCCTAAATCTCATTAATACACAATTGGTGCTGTAGCAAAATTGGGAGAATTTGATTATATGTTCTTGATACTTAATTTCCATAGCACCTATTTCATCATGTCATCGCTAATGATTTCCCCGTGATTTTTCCTGTCAGCTCTGATAGGATGGTCGAATGCACCTATACCTCAGTCTGTTCCGTGGTCACTCCATTGTGAGAGTGAAATGTATTTGTAGGTGCATTAATGTACTCTTGCGGGATACACGGAAATGTACGTCTATATGCCAAACGGATGTCTTTAGTGCGCAAACTGTAAATAATCGGATCGGACATAAAATTAAAATACGGCAAGTAGCATATAAAGTTATGGTATGCTGCGATAAGTGCTTCGTTATACTGTGCGAATCGTACTATCTTTACGATGGCATAAGGCATACTCGACACAACTAAAGTCGACATGAGAATGACAGTCGTGATGAACGCCCCATAGTTGTCACGCGCTTGGTTCCTTGACACGGCGCTTGCGCGTCTTTGAAGCAAACGTTTAGATACCGTGCTATACAACGAGATAACACAAAGGAATATAATAATCACAACAGCTGGCCAGACATAGTTCCAGTATTTAAATTCCAAGTTCGTCTGCAGGTTTTGCTTTATTATACTCAGTCCAAATATTCCCGGAATAGCCACAATACCCGAACCAATCCATGATATCCCCATGCATTCACACACTCGCACTTTAGTAAATAGTACGTTGTACTTCATCGGAAATTTGATAGCGATGAAACGCATGATTGCGAAAATAAGTAACGTAAGTGAAGCTTCTATGTAGAAGAAAGCAAAGCCTGTGTATCCAATGACCACTACGTCATTATAGTGGCCCCAATTGCTGATAACGTCCCAATGAAGGCCAGCTCTAAATACAGTCTCTAAATACGTGGACAAGGTTCCCAATAGATCTGCTATAGATAAATTGATGAATAGCAAATGATTGACACTCATAGTTCCAGGTATGTTGTATATTGTTACTATGGCAATAACGTTGGCTGCGACCGATGAAGCACAAAGTAAACTTGATATGATTGTGAACGGTATCACCTCCTCATCTGTTTCCATCTTCAAAGGAATAATTTGTCTGTGGCTTTCGTTAATAACACGGAATGTGTTGTTTATAACGTAAGAGGCGTCTATATGGGTCGAACCATTCATATTTACCATCATTTTTGAATGTACTTTCAATACTTCCACCAAAATCAGTAATGCGAAGACAGCCACGCGTCCTGAACTCATGCTTCTAGGGTTCAAAGATGTCAAAGTCAATAAAGAGTCTAGAGAATGATATTTTAATGCGGCGACTGGCAGTTTAATCTCTTTTATTGTCTAAGAATGTTCTCTTGTTTTCAGATAAGATGTCTTGACTTGTTTGATCATATTGAATCTCTGTTGATCGAAACTGAACGAGTCACAATGGGCACTGGTAACAGTTACTCAACACGCCACGGGTCCAGTTGAAATATTCCAGTATATAAGGACGAGCCTTGCTCCCTTTACAACAACACAATTTCACATACAGCTGTTCAACTTAACTCGCAAAACGAATCAGTAAATCCAGATTTTTGAATAGGGTTCTTAATCATTCCCGTCGCATTTTCTACTGTCAAATGCTAATCAAAAATTATAAAGTTGATGAGCTCACGTTTCGACGGGCTGATATGTTGTTTCCTCAGTCACATCCCAACTTCCTACATGACTCTGGTGGATGAATGGACTACAATCGATTCTAGATGATCATAGTCGGCTAGCGCTCAGATTATAACCATCTTGGGAACCAAATCGTTTACAGAACCTGGTCGATGCGTCTTCTTTAATCTCCAATAGTTTAATCGATAAAGCTGAAAATACATTAAATAAGTAAATATAAAAGTGTGCTATCATGATTCTTAATAATACTTGAAGAGGAGTAGGGAACCCTGTATTTTACCTAGGAAATAATAGCATAAATATTGTTAACTCTTACCTATAAACATGTTGGAGTGACATTAAATACAGATGTAACTCGGAAAACTGATACTGTAAATAAGAAGATAAGTGAGGGAAGAAATCCTTTTTTGCCCTCTGTGGAGTGAGATGTGAAAAGAGTATTTTAGATCCCCTTTGTATTATCAAAATTATTCTGGGCAGTTGCAGTCCCAAAAATGCTCTATGGCTGTGAGGTGTTGTATTTTAAACAAGCTGAGCTTGATTTGTTAAATGATGCACAAAGGCAAATAGCAAAAAGAATTCAGAAATATTCAGATATTTCTAGTTTGGGTTGTTTAGGATGGTTAGAACACAGTGCTTTTATAGATCTTCGTGAAATGTACTTCTTTAGGTTAATTGTAATGCTTAATCCATGTTCAATCTGCAGAAAACTGTTTTCCTGACTATGCATGCAATCAAAGATAATATAACGGGGTAATTATGAACAGGAGTATTGTGTTACAAACCTTTATCAAGTATAAGTTGAATTATATGATAATTAATGTTATTGAACAAAACATCATCCCTTCAAAGGAAATATGGAAAAAGAAAATTTAAACTACCGTATGCGTATGTAATGCATATAAGCTATAGTAATTGAAAGATGGAAAATACTACTTATGTTAAGTCACAAACTTAATGTTTTTAGAATTGTATTTACCCAATCCAATGTTATAAGGGAAGATACTAGGAAATTTACTCTTTGGTATAAATGATGAAATGGATTATACCATTCAGTTCCATAGCTGCAAAATGATATGCAATATATATAACTATAGAAATGTAAAATTGAAGGAACTAAATTAATTCAAGTCAATAGATAAATGTAGCATTGTGTAAATAATACTGTTTAATACTCTGTCCTTTGTAACGTAAATCTGTTGTAAAAAGAAAGTATTGTCACCAAATTGGTGGTTGAATAAATATACAAATACAAATAAGTATATTCCTTAGAACACTAAACTCTTTGAACCTAAAATTAATTCTTTTTACATGGCTTATCGAATCTAGTTAAGGAAGAAAATAACACCAACCAGCTGGTTATTTTTGTTGATTCAGGAAAACAATGACTTAAAATGTTGATATCTGTAAAAACTATATGATAAACAAAAATCAAATTCATTCGGTTTTCTAATTATTTAACTTTGTGACATAATATGAATTTTATCCCACAGATTTCTCTCTCCAAATGATAACTGCAAGTCCTGGACACATAGCTTCATTCTTAACACATTCTTCTTTCCCAATGGCAATGCAAGCCAACCCTGGGGCACAAAGCTAAATTCTTAACACATATTTCTTTCCCCAATGGCGATGCAAGCCAGCCCTGGGACACAAAGCTATATTTTTAACACATATTTCTTTCCCAATGACAATGCAAGCCAGCCCTGGGACACAAAGCTATATTTTTAACACATATTTCTTTCCCCAATGGTAATGCAAGCCAACCCTGGGGCACAAAGCTAAATTCTTAACACATATTTCTTTCCCAATGACAATGCAAGCCAGCCATGGGACACAAAGCTATATTTTTAACACATATTTCTTTCCCCAATGGTAATGCAAGCCAGCCATGGGACACAAAGCAATATTCTTAACACATATTTCTTTCCCCAATGGTAATGCAAGCCAGCCATGGGACACAAAGCTATATTCTTAACACATATTTCTTTACCAATGGTAATGCAAGCCAGCCATGGGACACAAAGCTATATTCTTAACACATATTGCTTTCCCAATGGTAATACAAGCCAACCCTGGGACACAAAGCTATATTCTTAACACATTCTTCTTTCCCAATGGCAATGCAAGCCAGCCCTGGGACATAAAGCTATATTCTTAACACATATTGCTTTCCCAATGGTAGTGCAAGCCAGCCATGGGACACAAAGCTATATTCTTAACACACATTTCATTCCCAATGATAATGCAAGCCCTGGGGCACATAGTTTCACAATTAACGCATACTTTTATGATATTTTAAACGAAGGATTTGAGTTATGACATTTCAAATGAACTTCATAAATGTCAGATATTATTCATATCGTTAATGTTACATCGATACTATATCAGGGCAATCGAACTAAACTAGCCTTTGGAATATTACGATTTATCGTATGATCTGTAAAATGAAGCCCTCGGATGGATTGGTTAGTTCTTGTGCTGTACCAATCTGTATTGCTTCTGAGATTGTCCCCATTGATCATCTCCAAAGCAATATAGAAAATACTGGTGCGGAAGGGACAATCTCAGTAGCAATACGAAGAATTCAGAATATTCTGCTCTCGATTTTCTGTATTGGCACTCGACTTTGTCTCGTTCCGATACAGAATTTCTTGTGCAGAATATATCCTGTATTGCACTTAAAATCATTTAATAACTTATAATATTTTCGATTGATATTCACAATATAATTTAACCCGCTCTTGTCCAGGTAGGACTTTTAAGTGTTGTTATCGCTTACGAGGACATTAGCAGTGGTAGTAAAGAAATTGTATATGTCAACCATTAGTACCATACCTCATACGTTTGTTGTCTAATTCGAATTAAATAACATATAATATATATGTTTTCATGCATGAATTATTTGAATATAATCAATCCCCAACAGTTCAATTTGCTTGCAGTAAATCAAATGTATACTTTAGTCAGTCAGTGAATAATTTCATTAAACACTAATAAGATGTGATATACAACAAATATACTCACACATAGCTAGGCAAGGTGTGTCCGATTCAAGCCAATCCGAACAGAGTATTCACATAATGAACAGTGTGTGAAATATCAATAACACATGCAAGGTCACTCTTTAAACAGTTGTCATGGTGATGAATAGATTTTTCACATTTGATTTGATGACTTGCCAACTTGACCCTTGCAAAAAATCCATTGAACATAAGTTGTCTTCGTGATTTCGTTCCTTTTATATGATTTTATAGAAAAAATGTGCAATGCGTGAAAAGAATTTAAGCTCAAGACTCAATGCATTGTAGCTGCTTCATTCCATCCAGGCGTTGTTTCCTAAACTTACGCTGTCATGCAAATGTTTGGAGGCAACACTTTCATGGTATGATTCAGCATACAATGCATTGAGTTTTGGGCTTAAATCCTTAAAGGAATAAAGACCGAGATTTATGGCGCATTCGAACATGACTGTGTTCACGCCTTCTACAAACTGTGAACAAAGCCAATAATTCAGCCGGTATTTATTCGTAGATACAATACCTGGTCTGTACTAAGTGTCTCGTTCAGTGCTTAACGCTAAACCGGAAGTAAAAAGTGAAATGACGAATTTGCAAAATCTTTGATGAGTTTTCATGTTCTAATCGTAAAATAGACCTCAGATTATCATTACAGCAGTACAGAAAACGTTTGTGCCTAGCCCTGCAGTATTCATTTGTCGATATAATACCTGCTCTTCGGTCTATATTTTTTCTTAATTATACATGTATGGCCAAAAAATGTAAAATAGTAAATATGTTCATTGTTAAAGACCGAAATAGCGTGTAGCATATCATCGCGCATCATATTAGAATAATATATATATATCATCTAAAAAAATACAATATTTCCATCAGATTTACTAACCTGAAATGTTACTTCGATGTCATCCATGAGAAATACATATATTGTTAAGTATGAGCAAAATTAATTCCTGACTAATCAATGCATACATGTTACACTTGATTTACCACATTGCATTGAGTCATTAAGTTATTGATTGCATTCATATGAAACTTTATATCAAATAAAACATATTTTTAGGACTTCCTAAAGTCAATGGTCAGTAGCATGCGAAGGTTACAGCAGTAATCTCAACATCAAAAGATGTCAGACGGTAAGTGTCGATTTTCATATTTTTAGTTTTCATCGAATTAAACTACGTTATTGTTGACGCATTGCTTTGATATTTGAACTATATCAGGCGCATGTTACATGAAAACTCTGGAGTATGATCATTTGTTCATATATCATGCGCAAGCACCACAGTTCAATGATATCTTCCACCGCTCAAGGGAAGGTAGCTGAGATTTTGGTTTTACAGATAATTTGATAACTGATATGCAGTGATGTGGTAACATTATCAGAGTTTATAATGGAGAGCTACAGGTAAGATGTACAGTTACCGCGTATTGAAAACTGACATGACCGTAACCGTATCATACATTTCCAGTTACCTTCTCTATTTAAGCGGTGGAATATATCGTAGAACTAATGGCACCCATGCAAACTCCAGAGTTCCCATTTCACATAAGCCTGATTTTGTTCAAACATCAAAGCATAACCCCCCTATCACACCAAACTAGTTCTTACCCGTTCTCGCCAGTCCTACGAAAAAGTCGTAAAACGGGCTCAATCTGGCTGTGGTCGGGAAATATGTCTACTTATATGTCTAATAATTACCCACTTTCGTTCATAAACAGTCTTCAATACGTCCATCTCATTCGTAGTTCGTTCAGGTTCGCAGTTCGTTCAAGTCGCACCAGGTCGGTGTGCAACGTCGTTTAACGCGTCCCTTAGTCTAGAAGGTCACCATGACCTGATTACAGAACGGTATGGTCGCCATCGAATTTTGAATCGATTCAAAATTCTAAAATCACCTTCCCGTCTGAGAACGTTCATGAAGTTCGTAAATTGACCTTAGAAAGTTGCAGCTACGTTCATCCCGTTCGCACACAGTTTAAAACCAGTTTTGAAGAACGCGGTGGCAACTTGTTTGGTGTGATAGCTATATTTTTGCTAACTCGTTCATAAGCAGTCTTAAAAACGTTCTTAATCAGTTTAAACCCGTTTGCAATTAGTTCTACCTCGTTCTCAATACGTCCTCAGACAGTTCAACTCGTTGTTAAAACGTCCCCAGTAGGATTGAAGT